TTTTTTGAGACAGGGTCTCACTACATAGTTGGGACTGACCTGGAACTCACTGTGTAGCCCAGGCTGGTCTCGAACTCACATCAATCCTCCTGCCTCAGCCTCCCCAAGTGTTGGGATTACAAGCGTGTGCCACCATGCCTGGCTTCTTTATGATATTGTGAGTGGTATTATTTTCCTAATTTTTCACTGAGTTAATTATTAGTGTTATAATGCCATTGATTTTGTGTGTCTGTGTGTGTGTGTGTGTGTGTGTGTGTGTGTGTGTGTTGATTTTGTATTTTGCTACATTTCTGAGTTTGATTTTTTGGGGTTTTTTTTGGTGTTTAAATCTGTGAGTCTTTTGATGGAGTTTTCTGAATCTTCTCTGTAAAGAATCTGAATATGGGCTGGGGATTTGGCTCAGTGGTTCCACCTGCCTCACAAGCGCAAGGGTCTGAGTTCGATCCCTGATACCAAAAAAAAAAAATGTGAATAATTTGACTTCTTTTCTATATGTACCCTTTTTATTTCTTTGACTTTCTGGTTGCTCTGGCTAATGCTTTTAAGTACTATGTTGAATAGGAGTGGTATATATTCTTGTTCCTGATTTTAGAGGGAAAACTTGCAGTTTTCCCCTGTTTAATGTGATGTTGGCAGCAGATTTGTCATAAATGAGTTTTATCAGATTGAGGTAGATTGAGAAGGATTCTATAAGTATCTTCAGGATTGTTCTCATGAAAGGATATTGGATTTGTTAAAGGTTTTTGTGCATCTATTGAGATAATCATGTGTTTTTTGCCTTCCTATTTATGTGGTATATTACATTGATTGATTGTTACCAGGGATTGAATTCAGGACCTTCTGCTTGTGCATTTGGCAGCACCACTGAGCTAAATCCCTGGCACATGTATTACATTTATTAATCTGAGTATGTTGCACCATCATTGTATCCCTACTTGGTATGATCTTCTGGGATGCCTTGTTGCATTCTTTTTTCTGGAATCTTGAGGATTTTTGCATCTATGTTCATTGAAGGGATTGGCATATAGTTAGCTGACTTTTACTTTTTGTCTGGTTTTGGAGTCAAGGGAATGCTCTAACTTTTTCTTTACCAGGTGTTGTCCATAGATACCTTTCTTTCTTTTCAGTTACAATCTTATGTTAGGTCCCCATTACCTCATGCTGTGTTCTTATAGTCAGCTGCTCAGGTGCAAAGCAGTGTTGTATCTGCCTTTGAGGCTCTAATCTGCTGCCCTTTCCCTTCCTGTGACAAATTTATCATCATTTACTGATCAAGCCTTTCTTTTCTGTTGTCTGTGGCTGGCTATTGTTTCATTGATGTTTATCTTTTCTTATTAAATTGTTTTAATTCAAGGATTTCTTCCTTTTTTTTATTTGAGAGGCTTTGAAACAGCAAATAGAAGATTTACAGGAAGATCTGAAAAGGAAGGAAGCAAAATGGTCAAGCTCATATGGCCGTCTAAGAAGCCAGATAGAAATGTTAGTCAGAGAGAACACAGACCTCCGAGAAGAGATAAAAGTGATGGAAAGATTCCGACTGGATGCCTGGAAGAAAGCAGAAGCTACTGAGAGCAGCCCCAAGGCCTACCAGTGTGTAACTGCTGGGAAGAAAGAGGAATCCGTGGTAGGTTTACTAGCTAGTTTTTCCAGATCTGGGGTTATGGTAAATCTTTGAACATTGAAATTTATAAGGATAGAAAGTGGAGTGGTGGGTGCCAGAGCCTGGGGAGAACATGAGGAGGTGATGTAGTAGACACAGGTGTAGTAGATACAATATTAGAAGGTGAAGAAATTCTGGAGATGGGTGAAGGTAGTGGTTGTACAATATTATTAATATACCTAATGCCGCTGAACTGTACATTTAACATTGGTTGAGCGGGCAGTCAGTTTTAGGTCATGTGTATTATACCACAGTTAAAATAATTTCATGTATTACAATATACAGGTACCTTTCAAACTCATTTTTATAATTCTTACAGAGGCATTATACAGCAGGCAGATAAACTCAATTTAAACGCCAAATGCAGATGAAATTTTGCACTCACATGTGTTGACTCCTTTCTAACCAAGTGTCTGGTCTCATGTATCTGTGTGAATTACTGAGCCATGGGAGGCATATGTCCCTGAGGAAAAGCGCTGAATGAAATAGAACTCCTCACACTCCTGAAACTCTCCGGTAGAAAGACTGTACATACGGTGGATGAATATACAATGTGGGTGTAGGAGACAGTGTTGAGACTTGGCAGGAAAGGTGAGGTGGGGCTGGCCAGAAGTGTGAGCCTGAGTTGCTACATTTGAGGGGTGCCCTGCAGGAGAGGGCAGGATATGCCTGTAACCAGAAGGGCCAGCATGTAGGACAGCCCTAGGATTGGGGTCAGGCTGTCAGGGAGCCTGATGTGTGGGAGCTCCTGGGGCTTAGGGTGGACTGCTTCTTCTTGTAGTATGTTCACTGTGTCCCTCCAGACTGACTAGTAGAGGGGAAGGAATAGCGGGAATTCAGACCAGGTGGTGGACGCATAGTTGGGGGTCACAGCAGTGGAGGGGTGAATAGCAGAACAGATTTATTGATGAACTTCACAGAGATCTTGACTTCCAACTATAGTTTAGCCTGGGGCTTTGGTGTAGTGGAGTTCCCAATGATGAGTTATGTGAGACCACAGGAAGACAGAATGTTTTCAGGATGCTCATGGTACAAATGTAGTGCCTCCCTGCCATGGTGTGGAGATGCTGCCTCAGCAGCTTCCTGGATGACCAGGGAGGTGCTGGCTGGAGATGACATGGGTTCCTAAGAAGTGCTGCATGTTGGGCCATTAGTGTGGGTGGGAGGAGCCAGCTGGAGAATGGGAAGAGGAGAGGGGATAAAGAAAGAGAGACAGACAGACAGATAAGACACACAGATACATAGTGTGTGTCCCTGTGAAGCCTAGTGAAGAAAGTCTTGTGAGGAGGATGGCATCCTTGTCAGGTGCTGCTGCACAATAAGAGGATCTTCAGTGCTGTAATGGGGTGTGATGCGTCCTGGTTCCTTGGAGTTTTGAGAAGCGGAGCCTGTCTGGATAAAAAAGAACTTGGCATAGTTAGGGACCAAAATGGCCCTAGGGATTCATTCTGCAGTGAGTTGAAGAAATGGGGTAGTGGCTGAAGGGAAGGAATTTTATGTTTTAAGATAGGAAATGAACAGGTGTGTGTATCGGTAGCATTGATTTAGTGGAGAGGAGAGCACTGCTGCAGGAGGAAGCTGGGGAATGACTCAACAGTGTCCTGGCACAGGTCTGGGGATGGATGGATGGCAGGTGGTCCTGGGCAGGCACCACTGTCAGCCTCAGGACAGGAGAGGTGGGCCCAGACTAGGCTGATTGATGATCAGTGACAGTTGGTAGGGAGGGCTCCCTAAAACTTGGACCTTCTCAGGGAATCATCAGCTAAGAGGGAGGCAGGAGGGAGGAGTAATCTGGAAGCAGTAGTCTGAGAGAAGAAAGCAGGGGTTCTGGGGAGGGGAGGCTTGGCCTGGGCTGCACCAGGGCCCACTTGGATTAGAGACTTATTTACACTTGAGTGAGAACTCTTCACACTGGTTTTCCTCATTCAACTTTTTGGGTGAAGGGTGGTAGAGAGGTATATATTAGCAGAGGCATGGTCACACAATTAAATGCGAGAGAGGGACATAGGAGCTGGTAGTGTATGTGACAGGAGTAACTGCTGTATAATGAACCATGAATTTATGTTAGAGGGCAAAAAGCTACGAGATTCTGAGCCCTGCACACAGATGTGCTCAGTGAACTATAGGACTGACTGTATGTAATGTTGTCACTGTCAGGGTGAAAGTGTTAGGAGAATGAGCTGGAAGATAGGCTTTGATGGCATTTTCTTCCTGTTTCATAAACACTTTATTATGGAAGCCTCCCTCCCAAAGTAGAGTAGGTGAAAGAATGTGGTGACCTGGACTCAGCCCTGTGAACATTTTGCTGTACCTATGTACGTTTTGCCGAACAGATCGAAGGTAATGACAGAAATCATAGTGTCCCATCCTTAAATACTTCAGCATTTACTAAATGGCACTGACTTTTTGAAGATGCCAGACTAATTATTTTGTGGAGTGCCCCATGTTTTGTGTATTTGTTATTGGAAAGCTTTGAAATTCTTTGAAGTGTAACTTCTGCACTTAGTGATGATTGCAGATTTTGATATTAGTGGGAGTGACAACCTGTGGACTTGGATGTCTAGCTGAGGCAGCACAGAGTACAGATTGGAGATTAGGTCAACACAGTGAAACTAAGGTGCTGGACATATCATCTGGCAGGGCATGCGGAGCACGCTGGGAGCATGAGTCAGGGGCTGGGTATTGGGCAGATCCCAAGGGAATGAAGAGAAGGGAATCTTACCCTAGTGGTAGGAACAAAGCAAGTGAGTTCTATGGAGAGCTGGGCCCAGCCAGAGAGGTTGTCAGGGCAGCTGCTGGAAGAGGTCAACCTTGACAGAAGGACCTTGTTCTCCTGATTACACTGATTGCTGGGTCCTAATTTGAAGAATGAGTATGTGTCAGAGTGTATTTGCATGTATGCTTGTCTGTGTGTGTAGTTCATTGCCAGATAACATTAGTCCACTTTGGCATACTGTGGTAAATGAAAACACTACCAAACAAGCCTACAGTGTCCTCATCACTGGCTGAGTTTAGTTTCACTCATTGTACTGATGTGTAGACTAACATTATTTTCAAAATTTTATATCCAATATTCTGTCTCACACTATAGAACACATCTGTTCGATACCCAAAGAGCTACAATTCTTCAGGAACCCAAGGAGAACAGTGCAAGAAACACTATTTGTCAAAACATGGTAAGAGGCTGTGTGATCTTTTTCAGAATTACAAAATAGCAAATTTATATCCATTAATAAAACATTAGAAATATAGTTGAAGCCGCTGTGCATAATTTTACTCCACCAGGAAATAATTCCAGATCGCATTCTATGCTTTCATGCTCTACTTGTTCTTTGTTTGCAGTTTGTGTGTTTTTCTCTCAGTATAGTCAGATTTACCCACATTATGCTTAAAAGCTCTAGATGATTCACTGCAGTAGCTCTTAGATATCTGCTGTATCTCCAAGGCTGGGCAGGCCTCTCTTGGTGGGCAGGCAGGATAATGAGCAGTGGCTTTCTCTAGAGTCTGTGTTAGGAGCAGGGTGCTGGGCATATCAGGTTTGGACTGCTGTGATTTGCCTTTGTAAAATGGTTGTGCGAGCTTTTTACTCTCTGTAAAATATACCCTTGGTACTTGTTAAAGCTTCATCTAGTTAGGCTTTAACATTTTGGCCAGACAGATGTGAGATGGTACCTCAGTGGTTTTAATAAGCATCGCTAGTTGCTGGGAACATTTTTTATTATGCTTAGGAGGCATTTGGGATTCTTTTTTGTGAGTTGCCTGCTTATATCCTTGTTTTTTTTAAATTCTAAGGTGTGTAACTCTGCATTGAAGTTAGTTATTTGCATATTAATACTTTGTCTTTTATATACACTGCTAAAATTTTCTCCTAGTCTGGTTTGTGATTTTTGTATTATATACATTTTTCTTTTAATATTTATTAATCTTAGTTTTTTTTTGCTTTCATACTACCTCTCCCACACCCACTCCACCATCCCATGCCTTTCCCTGCAGCATCAGCTCCTGGGGCAGCCCTCAAAGGCCTGTCTATCACTGCTTTGCACTGTCATTGCTACAGAATCAGGTTGTGTATGCTCCTTTGTTGTCTTCCATTGAACGCCATGTTGTAGAGGTTTGATCTATAGCTCTCATTCCCTAATATTCAATGCAAGGAGGGATTCATTTATGAATGTATTGGAATGCAGTCATTTTCTGTCAGTAGATGCACTTTTATAAAGTTTTGAGAGTGTTAAGCAAGCAGTGATGTCATGAGCATTCTTGGTTATTTCTGGCGCACATATTTCTTTTCTTTTTTTGGTACCGGAGATCTGGTCTTTGCTCTTGTGAAGCAGGTAGCAGAACCACTGAGCTAAATCCCCGGACCTGGCACACACATTTCTTTCGTCACATATGTAGGGCTAGAATAATGGGGGAATTGGTGTGAAAATTTTTTTCAGTACTAAGTATTCAACTCAGGGCTTTCTCACTGAGCTGCAACCCTATGCCAGCCACTCCCTTTTAGAGACAAGGTCTCATTTAAGTTGCCTGGGCTGGGCTTGAACTTGTGTTCCTGTGATCCTTCAGCCTTCAGCTTCCCAGGGTCCTGGGATTATAAGTGTGACTTTCATGCTTGGTTTAAAATAATTTCTATTGTACCAGGGATTGGACTCAGGACCTTGAGCTTGTGAGGCAGGTGTGGTACCATTGAGCTAAATCCCCAGCCCTTAAATATATTTTTCATGCCAGTAAATTTTTGTCATAATATTTTTAAAAATGATTTTATACTCTCATGAAAGCACTTGTTTTGCTTCACACTTCATCCAGTACTTCTACTGTTGCACTTAAAATTTTGCCAGGCATATAGGGGAATAACAGTGTATTACTGGAGTTTTAATTTGCATTTTCCTGGTATTAAATTTGAACACAGTTGTCTCTGCTTATTAGCTATCTAGATGCCCTCTTTTAAGAAGCTTGTTCAGGTTTTTACCCATTGTTCTGTGGGGTTCTTTTCCTTTGTTGATTTATGAGAGGCTTCCCTTTCTTATTCTCACAGTCCACATATATTGCAAAGATAGTAACTTTTTTTTTTTTTTTTAAACTGAGTTTCTCTGTAAGATGTCTTGGCTGGCCTGGAATTCACATTTCTCCTACCTCAGCCTTGTGAATGCTGGGATTATATAGCCCCGTGTCACTATACCTGGCATGTTTTTACTCCTTATAGTGACTTTTGATAACCTGCTTTCTCATTTCAAGGTAACTGAATTTCAGGTTTTCCTTCATAGTACTGTATTCTATTGTTTCTGTGGTACTGGGGATTGAACCGAGGGCCTTTGCAATGGGCTGTATCCTCAGCCCTTTTAATGTATTTGGACACTTAAGTTCTGCAGCCTGGATTTGATTTTTGAGTGTTGACCTTTATCAAGCTACTCTACCAAATCTGTCAATTGAGTCTAGAAGTCTTTCGGTGGAGATTTTTTGTGTCTTCTATGAAGAGTATCATATCATCAGCAGATGATGACAGAAATACTTCTTTTCCTATCTTATTCATTTTTTTTGGTACTGGGGATTGAATTCTGATCCTTGCACTTGCAGTGTAGGTGGTGGCACCACTGAGCTAAATCCCTGGCCCTATTTATTCCTTTTATTTCTTTCTCTTGTCTAATTGCTGTGGCTAATATTTCCAGAACTATATTGAACAGGGATGGTGATAATGGACATCCTTGTCTTATACCCGATTTTAGTGTGAAGGTTTTCAGTTTTTGACTATTTAGTATGATGTTGGCTGTTGGTTTTTCATAGTTGAGATAAAGACCATCTATTCCAATTTTCTGTAGCTTTTTTTTTTTTATCATGAATGGGTGTTGAATTTTGTCCAATGTTTTTTCTGCATCTGTTGAGAAGATCATATGGTTTTTGTCCTTGGCTCTGTTAATATAGTGTATTACATTTACTGATTTACATATGTTGAACCATCCTTGCATTCCTAGGATAAATATGACCCTCTGTGTTCTGTTTGCCAGTATCTCATTGAAGATTTTTACATCTATGTTTATTAGGTGATTGGCCTGTAGTTCTCTTTTTTGGTTGGGTCTTTCCCTGGTTTTGAAATCAAAGTCACACTTGCTTCCAGGAATGAATATGGAAATATTGCTTCCCTTCCATTGAGGTGTTTAAAGAGAAGTTGCAGTAGCTCTTCTCTAAATGTCTTGTAGAATTCAACAGTGAAGTCATCGGAACCTGGATTTTTCTTTATTGGTAAATTTTTTAATTACATTTTCAATTTCACTGATGGTTAATTGGAGTGTTTAGAATTATTATGTCTTCTTTGTTCAACTTTGGTAATTCATATATCCCTAGGCTGGGTTTGAATTTGTGGTTCTCTTCCCTCAGCCTCCCAGAGTGCACCACTGCACCTGGCTCCTAGTAATGCTTAGGTCTTCCTGCATAACCTCCCTCCTGTGGGATCTCCAGTACCATTTATTACCCAGCTTTGTCCTTTACTACTCTCATGTATTATGTGTTAGCTAAGGTATGTTATAGTCCTGCAGGCCAGATGTTAGTGCATGTTTCTTAATTTTGAGGGTTCAAGTTAATGTTCATGATCAGCCTGAGAAGTAAATTTGATTATGATGAATTTTATTACTTTATTCCATTGTCAAATTACTCATCCTCAGCCTTGGTTTTCTCACATATAAAATGGGAATGTTAGTTTTGTCTCTGGAAATGATAGGAAGATTACAAATGATGTAAAACAGCACCAGTTATACAGTGTACTTCATACACATGCCCTGAGAGGTAGGTGTTCTTCTTGTGTCCTGTTAGCCCAGAACCCTGGCTACTGTCCACATACTGGCTCAAGCCAAATCTGTGCTCCCCTTAGTTACTTTTTCCTTTTATCCTTACCAGTCGTTCCTACCACTGCCAAACCCAGTCATTCTCTTGTTGGTATTTTCCAAATCCATCATGTTGAACTGTAGGAACTGGCTGACATGGCAGTTTGGGGTCCACACACCAGGGATTCCATGTGCCGCAGAAACAGCACTGTTTCCATTGGTGCCACATAGCCTCCTTGCATGTCTCATAGCCTCCTGGTGGCCTCTACCTCTGTTCTCTGTAGCATTCAGCATCCTTTGTACTTTTTTTGTACTGGAGATCAAACTCAGGTCGTTGTGCTTACCGAGGCAGGCACAAGTACTTCTGAGCCATATCTCTGGCCTTTCTTTGTACTTTTTAATGTTCAAGTCAAATTCTGGGAATTAACAAAACCCTTCAAAGCTAGGGATATTGACTCATTGGTATATAGGAAGAAAATATGAACACATCCATATATTTTTAAAAATTCATTTGTTACTGGTGGCATGTGTGTACTTATTTTTATAATATATGGGTTACAGGACATGACTGGTGTTCTAGTCATAATAGGGCACACTCTCTAGGGTACTTAGGTTTTAACTAAATACCCAGTTACTTGGTTACGCCAAATGCTGTATTGTTGTTGTTTTTTTGTTTTTGTTTTTTGAGGCGGGTCTCACTGCATAGTTGAGACTGACCTGGAACTATGTAGCCCAGGCTGGTCTTGAACTCACATTGATCCTCCTGCCTCAGCCTCCCAAGTTCTGGGATTACAGGCATGCGCCACCACGCCCAGCTGTGTGTATTCTTAAGATGCCTCTTTCTTTTATTTATACCCCACACTCTCAACATTTCTTTTGATTGTCTCCAAAATACCTTCAAGTCTTTTAGATTACTTGAGCTCCAGTTTTTCTCTGGATTGTAAACTGAAAGTACTGTATTTGATACTTTGTCTGCTTTGGTCACTGAGAACTTAAGTACTTGTATAAATATTTAAATTTATATAATGGAGCACTTGTACAAACCACTAAAAAAAAAAAAAAATACCAAGAGTTGCTTAATTAGGTTTCTTTTTGTGGTATTGGGGGATTGAACTCAGGTCCTTGTGCTTGTGAGGCAGGTGGCGGAACCACTGAGCTAAATCCCTGGCCCTGAAGTAACTTTTAGGTTTCTTTTCTTTCTTTTTTTAAGAGTTGCTTAATTAAAAGTTAAAGGGCAAGGCCGGGCATGGTGGCGCATGCCTGTAATCCCAGCACTTGGGAGGCTGAGGCAGGAGGATCGCTGTGCTGCAAGTTCGAGACCAGCCTGGGCTACATAGTGAGTTCCAAGTCAGTCTCAACTACATAGTGAGACCCTGTCTCAAAAAAAAAAAAAAAAAAAGGTAAAAGAGCAGCAGTTCACAAAGGAAGGATATGAACTAAGGAAATGTTTAACCATACTAGTAACTTTAAAATGTTTAACATTTTAAATTAAATTTTATAATACTGAACCTAACTTTTTCAATTATATTCTGACAGGTAATCCACCTCGAAGATCTATGTGTGTACCTCCTCGGCATTTAGGCAGCTCAGATAAACGACAAGTAAGTCTTTCAATATTTCTGCATATTCAACTATAGATTATTCAGGCTTAAAATTGATTCACTATATTTTAACCATGTATAAAGGAGAGTTTTAGATCATAAATGTTTTATATATAATGCCAAATCCAGTCCTAGGGCCCTATAAAATTAGCATCTGACTTATGAAATAAATACAGGTTTCAACTGCTCTGATGTTTTATCTTACAGGTTGCCTTGCCCAGGGAGCCACTTGTACCAGTTAACTTTCTAGATCCTGAATATAAAAAGGAAGAAAAAGAAGAAGAAATTCAGGAAGAAATCAGTCATTCTGATGGAAAGGTTAAAAACTTTTTTTAAAATCTAAAAATTAAATGTGAGCTAGGGCCAGAGATTTAGCTTAGTGCAAGGTCCTGAGTTTGATCCTCAGTACATATAAACACACACACACACACAGATAAATAAACGTGGGCTAGAGTAGAGTGGAGATGCTTAAAATATGGTCATGTGCTGTTTAACAGGAAGGGATACATGAGAGAGCCATGCTGTTAGGTGATTGTGTCATAGTGTGAACACGGCAGAGTGATGGATGGCATAGCGCAGGACACACAGTGTGCATGTCTCATATATGACAGTCTGTTGCCCTTAGGGTCATAACACACCATGAAGATTAGATCAAGCACAAGATTAGGAGATAATGCAATCAAGAAATGTAGTGAGTATAAGATATACAAGGCTGGGCAGGGGATTTAGCTCAGTGGTTCTGCCTGCCTTACAAGTGCAGTGCAAGGTCCCGAGTTTGATCCCTGGTACCAAAAAAAAAGAGAAGAAAAATGATATATAAGGCTGTGGCTGGTGGAGTATGGCTTACTGTTCACAGAAATTTTTTTTAATAGTGTATTTTAAAATAATAGTGTAGAAAGTATATAACATTACTCTCCAGTGTTATGCAGTTTACGTAATTATGCATGCTATACTTTTACATGGCTGCCAGTGAAAATCTGCATCACTGCAAACCTGGAGCACCTTGATAATGCGGTCTGTCATGGACCAAACTGACAATGGTGCCTGAACTTCAGGACTGTGGGGCTTGAAACTCTGGACTCCTAACAGTAATTTACTGTTTGTAGCTTAGTGGTGTTAATGAAAGGAATACAGCACCACTGTTTAAATTAGTTCTTGTGCCAAACAGCTTAAAAGCCTTTACGGTTGCTTGTAACCCTGTACTGTGGGGCATCCCATCTCTAGCCCGCTTAGGAAAATGTTTGAGGGAAAATGGCCTAGTTGGGTGTCTAAGCTGAAAGAGAGTGAAAAGGGAAGGGACATAAGCAGGGTTTGTTAGGAGGTGATGAGAGCTTTCTTCCTTGAATCTGCTCTGTAGATACTTTGATCTGACTCACTGGGTGAGAGGAAAGTCAGAGGTAGCCAGTAGCAGCATCTGAGAAGGTGGGGGTGTTAAATCACTCTCCTCTTTGGGAGGGGCCGAAGCAGCTGGATCAGGAGAGAGACAGTCACTCAAAGAACAGGTTGGGGAGAGACTACTGTCAGGAGGGGTTAAGGCTGAAAGGAAATGCTCCTCGTAAGCAACAGTTGAGTGAAAGTTGGAAATATCAGTTGTGATCACACCCATCAGTGCGGTCACTTTAGCTGCTTCAGCCACCATAGCTATGGGCAGGACTGTCATGGGGATGACCAAAGCTACCACAGGGGCCATCTTCACCGAGGGCACAGTCATATGGAGGGTGAATCGGTTTCACCTCAGTGTGAGCAGAGCCATGCCTGTAGAGCATGCAAAGCTGTGGGCACATCCACCTATGGAGTTACTGTAGTTGTAATTGCAGGCATGGCTGACTAGAGTCACTTTTGGCACCATCTTAGCTAAGGGCACGGCTGCCTCTGAAGCTAGTACAGCGGTGGGGACAGTGGCTTTACTTTGAGTTAATTGGAAGGGAGTTAACACTGTGTGGACTAAAGTCTAAGAAAGTAAAAGTTTGGAGAGAAAGAGGACCAACCCTTTGCTGGATGTCACGGAGAAGTGTCACGCCTTTCCATATTTCCAAGTCCAGTATTCCTGCTTTGTGAAACCAAGGAGTGTATTTACACGTCCATTAGCAGATCAGCAGCAGGACTTGCAGGTATCCTGTACTTAGCTTACTTTAATAGCATCTGCTGCAATCTGACCTATGTTGTAACCCCAGTGGTATCTAGAAAAGGCATTAAGGATTGCTCATGGCTGGGCTCACCCAGTGCCCTGTGGTTCAATCTGGAGTTGTAAAGTGAGAGCTGAAAGTTGTCATGAGTTCCGCCCCTTTGCACCTCCACAGTTGGGTGCCAGTTTTAGTGAATGTTACTGAAAACCCCAGTTGTGGGTCTTAGCGTCCACAAGATAGGAAAGAGAGAACAAAAGACAGGCACGAGAGAAGAGAGCAGAGAAGCTGGGTCTTTGGCTGATCCAAGCTGCTGTGGGCCACAAAGACAAAAAGCACCAAGGATATCCAGTGCATTATAAGCATGGGAAAGAGGAGAGCAGGGTAGAGCTTGGAATGTAAAAGGGAGGCACTTACTGAAGAGAACAAAGGGGTAATTCAGAAGGGAAAGAATTTAGTTGGGAGTCAAATTGACCCTGGCTGGAAGTTAACTCAGCATAGTGCTGCCATTTCACGGACTAGGTCTTAAATCTCGGTAGCAGCCATTAGCAAAGGAGAAATACTAAGCTAACTGCTGACATGCCCATTTGAGTCACGAAGCTTTGATCAGACTCCTAAGATAATACAGCCAAATTGTGGAGGGACAAAAAGCTTGTGCCACTTATGGCCTGCTAATACTGGGCAGAGATGCCTCTTATACTTGAGGAATGAAAGGATGGAGAGCACTGGTTAAAAGGAAGCAGTCAGGGTTTCCCTAAGTGTCCTATGTGGTACCACATCATTGATGAGGAAAAGTTTTCTGTTTCAGATAAATTCCAGCCAATAAAGGAAAAGTAAACAAGCAAATTTTTAAGAATCACCAATTTGTAACCCCTAATGAAATAAAAGGATCTTCTCTACTTTTTAGAGGATATTTTGCTTTTTATTATGAAAAATTTCAAAGGAAGCATGTAGGATTTGACTTGACTTAGTTATGTGGCTTCAGGAAGAACACTTACCCACTGCTAATCTTGTGTGTGTTTTTTAGGTGGAAAAGGTTTATAAGAATGGGTACCGGGTTATATTGTTTCCTAATGGAACTCGGAAAGAAGTGAGTGCTGATGGGAAGAGTTTCACTGTCACTTTCTTTAATGGCGACTTGAAGCAGGTCACACCAGATGACAGAGTGGTACGTTCCCTGGTCCATTTTCTTCTCAGTTGCCTGTCTTGAGAGAGTGGGTGTCCTGACCTCATGTCTTCACAGATCTATTACTATGCTACTACCCAGACCACTCATACCACATACCCTGAAGGACTTGAAGTTCTGCACTTCTCAAGTGGACAGATAGGTACAAACTTGCTCTTCTTCCCGTTAAATTATTCCCTTCCTTTAAAAAAATACATATTTATAGTAACCTTTTTAAAATAGAGAAACATTTCCCAGATGGAAGAAAAGAAATCACATTTCCTGACCTGACGATTAAAAACTTATTTGCTGATGGCCAAGAGGAAAGCATCTTCCCAGACGGCACAGTTGTCAGAGTGCAATGGTATGACCCCTGCTAAATCTGCTTCTAGGTTTTCCAGTTCAGCTTTTATACCAATTTGAATTGTTAAAATTTAAAACATGTGTATATGAGTCATTCAAAATTACTGTGAGTTCAGAAGTTAACAAAGACTCTCAAAGCAAGTGAGACACATACTTACTGCAGTGTGAAGTTAGAACTTGAGATAACACAAGAGTCAGTATTTAGACAGAGTCCACACAGCATTCTAGGAAAGGGGATTGGGATTGGCAAATATTTGTTCACAGGTAAATTTAAGTAAGTTTTTAAACAGTGAATAAGACAGAAACAAGACAGAATGTTATTTATTTTGATTGATTGGCACTGAGGTTTGAACCCAGAGTCTTTACACTGAGTTACATGCCCAGCCCTTCTTATTTTTGACATAGGGTCTAAGTCACTGAGTTTCCGAGGCTGGGCTCAAAGTGGTGATCCTCTTGCCCTAGCTTTCTAGTTGTGCTGGGATTACAGGTGTGGGCCACTACTATCTGGCTTACATTGTTAAATTTTGGATGGGCCTGGTTGCACAATCCATGCTAATGATAAAGAGCTTTTCATTCCCCCCCCCCTTTTTTTTTGGTACCGGGGATTGAACTCAGGTCCTTGTGCTTGCAAAGCAGGAGGCGAAACCACTGAGCTAACTCTCCAGCCTGTCACTCCCACTATTTTAATTAAGCTTTGCCAAATCTAGTGGTGTGCTTTTAGTTTTCCCTGTTCCTTCTCTGGAGTGTAACAGTTAAATACCATTTATCTGAATACAGCTAACATATCATAGATGCACTTAACCAAATTCCATGATATAAACTTGGCAGGGAAAAAAAAAATTTATTACTGTACTGTTTTTCCTTTATCATGGCCTGAAGTTTGTTACCTAGTAATTAAGAAGTAGCAGCTTGACTGGGTGTGTGGAGATACACACCAGTAATCCCAGCACTCTGGAGGCTGAGACAGGAGGATTACTGAGTTCAAGCCAGCCTGATCTACTTGGTGAGACCCTGCCCCAAAAAACAAAACAACAACAAAAAATAGCAGTTTGATCTAAAATTGGGAGAATTTATGTATACATTATACTTGGAGTGATATCAGAAAAATTTTATCTTTACTTTTACATTTAAAATTTTGTATAATTAAAAAATGAGAGAGGGCTGGGGATTTGGCTCAGTGGTGCTGCACCTGCCTCGCAAGCGAAGGGCCCGAGTTCGATCCCTGGTACAAAAAAAAGAACAAAAAAACAAAAAAACAAACCTCTACCCAGCCACCACCCATCTTTTCTCAGGCAAATCTTAGGGTAGGAGTGTAGCTTAGGGGCACTGCACCTGCCTGGCAAGCCCAAGGTCCTGAGTTTGATCCCTGATACTGGGAAAAAATAGTTTTACTCAGGTTTATTTTGGCATTGATGACTTGTGATAATGGTTCTCACATACTTCATAGTGCATTTCTAATAGGTTCCCAGGTGATGTGGAACCAGCCATTTCTCATTAGATTTATGTCTGGGAGTTCAGTTTGAATATCCCACAGGCATATTGAACAATCAGTATGCTAGTTACCTTTTCATATTCTGCCTGTTTCATTCAAGACAGATCCTGAGTCTGGTCATGCCCTTATCAGGATACAGCTCTCTTCTACACCTGATACAGAGCAAACATTTAGATGGTTTTTAACACAGTGAAAAGGGGGCACAAACACAGAAACCCAGAAGTAGATTTTAATACAGTGTCCTACTTTCTCAGAGATTGCAGATTGAACCTAGGTCTTGATACTGACCAATCCTCCCTTAAAAAATATTTTGATGGGATCATAATGTTAAGTGAAATAAATCAGATAAAGAGACAATAGGAAATAGGGAAACAGATCTTTTGCAGAATGGAAGGAGACCAAGAAGAGATGGATGGGGAAGGAAAGGGATGAAACAAAGAATTAAGATGTGTTATGTACATGTACCAACTCCCCACAAGGAGTGAAATCATTATGTCCTGTAAACGTACTAATAAAAAAATTGAAAAAAATTTTTTTGGTACTGGGGATTGAACTCAGGACAGGCATGATGCCACTGAGCTAAATCCCTGGTCCAAGGTCTCACTAAGTTTTCAAGCTTGGGCTCCAGACTTGTGATCCTGGTGACTTAGCTTCCCACAGTACCAGGATTATAGGTGTGTGCCTCCATGATTAATTTGTTTTGTTATCCCCACCTTTATTATTTAGTTGATACCAGAATTGAACTCAGGGCCTTGTGCTTATCTGGCAGGTGTTGTGTCGCTTAGCTATATCTCCCCACCCCCATCTTGATTAAGCTTAAAGCAAATTTATGTAAAAAAGCTTTTCATGGGTACATGTAAATGTTAATCTGATAACTGTGGTATCAGCCTAAAACACTGTAGAAAGAATTTGAAGTTATAGAGAGAAAAGGACCAAGAGATGTCTCTAGAAGAATAACGGCCAAAATCAAAAGGCTACTTTCAAATCATTTTCATGTTTTACATTTTTCTTGCCAGTGCCAGGGATTGAACCCAGGGTATAACAATATGCTAGGCAAGTGCTGCACCACTCAGCTGTTCCCCCGGCCCTACTTTTTTTTTTGGTACCGGGGATTGAACTTGGGTCCTTGCACTTGTGAGGCAGGCAGTGGAACCACTGAGCTAATCCCTGGCCCCTTACTTCATATTTTTTAAGAATTTAAATTCTGTTTTAAATTTTACAGCGATGGCAACAAAATTATAGAGTTTAATAATGGCCAAAGAGAACTTCATACTGCGCAGTTCAAGAGACGGGAATATACAGATGGCACTGTTAAAACTGTGTATGCAAATGGTAATCAAGAAACAAAATATGCGTCTGGTCGAGTGAGAATTAAGGACAAAGATGGTAATGTTCTCATGGACACAGAATTGTAATGCTGCAGTGTGACTGATCATGAAGTAACATTACCTGAGCTTCCTATTTTAAAAACTGTACAATTTTTGTGGATTGTTTAATTTATATAGCCTCTGTGTGTCTAAATGGCAAAGATGGATTCTAAAATAAAAGTCAACTAGAAAAGCTTCATTTTTATATTCTTTGAAATACACAAGTATGACATTCATTTATAATTCACCTGTTTTCTACAACTAGATTAAAGAAAGCATTATTTTGTTACAAACTGTATGGGATTTTTAAAGTAATGTGTTTTTGGTTGTAAATGGTTATGAAAACCAAGGAGTACATCACAGACATCCCACAGGCTTAGTAGCCATAGAACATGCACTTCCATGGAAAGGTTACTCAAGGGATAAGTGACTGTCACTCAAGCCAAAGTAGTATTGTGCTTAGTTGGTACCAAAATGAAAACATCGACCTGCTGTAGGGGTCATTAATTGTAATAAAATGGGAAGTTACAAAAATGAATGAATACAACTAGGTCAAACAGTGCTACAGGTAGTAGTAGGTAATAATCCTGCTACTTCTAGGAGAGGAGAAAAGTTATAACAAGGCTGACTATATGACTTGTACGGTAATAGTAGGCATGAATAGTTAACTAATGTTAATCCATTTCCCATAGCTACTTTGATATTATCACCAATAGGGCTTTTGGCTGACAGAAGTGTGAGGTGTCCTAGAAGGAAGGGCAAGTCACCTACCATAAATTAGGGCAATAAGTATTAATAATTACTCAGTTAAAAAGTTGTCAGTTTTGGGCTAGGGATGTAGCTCAGTGGCACAGTGCCTGCCTGGCAAGCATGAGGTCCTGAGTTCAATCTTTGGTACCAAAAGAAGTAAAAAGTTATCCATTTCAATGTGACTTAAGAAATGAATATGAAAAGCAATACTTTTCAAAGAAAGAGTTTTGTAAATTACACCTCATGATAGGGGAAGATTTTTAAGATACAAAACAAGCTTTAAAAAAAATGAGTGATAACTAAAAAAAAAAAATGCATGACAGAGGTTTACTAACCGGAATATATACAGAAGTACTACAAGTAAAACTGCAAACAGTTTAATAGAAGGATATGAACAAGCAGTAAAGTGACAGAACATTCACTAGTACTAAGAAATCAGTATATGCTTTTTAAAACAATGAAATTCTGGTGTCAAGACTCTGGCACTAGTCTAACACTGGTCTGGTTACATCACATGCTGGTAAGCAGCTCACACAACTGGTGCTAAACTGCTTGCTTCTTTGTAGAAAATAATTACTCCAGGAACCGTCAGATTCCACTAAATATGTACACGTGCACATAGATGCATACATACATATTTATGTACACACAGGAAATTCACATACATAAGGGCCCTGTAGAATATTTGTAATTTAGAAAAAAGCTGGTAACAACCTAAACAACAAATGATAGAGCAAAGTAAAAGAGCTACACATATGAATACAGATAAGCAGTACAAATAAAATAGGAAATCGTGATAGCTCACACGGTAAATATGCACACAGTAACTGCATATTACTCATGGATGCACTCACACGTAGTAAAACTGCACAGACTGCTCACCTGTCAGGCAGGGAGCAGATACGATGGCGCAGCACCGCAGGGCCTTTGTGGCTGCCGTCCGGTGAGAACTGTCCTCCAAACCCTCGCCAGAGCAACTCCATTTCGCAGCAGCCAACTGCAGTGCAAGGTCGTCTACCACTGTGGCTAGACAGTGCTTCTGAAACCAGTGGAGTTTCCCAGTGAGGCGGGCATGAGAGTGTAGTATACACAGCTTTTCCTAATTACACTTACTGCTTTTACCCTAGTTTTGCCGTCTTAATAGTGTTCTATAATAGCAGTAATTTTGCACAAGGAGATCAGCGACTTTTGTAGTGCTATAGCCTGCAAGTCATCCTTGTAGGTAAACTCCAATAAACTCATTTACTCTCCAAGCTGGACTTGTCTGAGTCATCCTTTGGGCTGTCAGCCCCCTCCCATCTCACTTGGGAGGCGGACATTTCTTTTACATCTCTGGAACGTTCACCCAACATCACTTTGTTTCTTAAACTGAATTATAAATAAGCTGAGCCTGGTAACGCGTCCATGATCACAGCACGTTGGGAGCCTGAGGCAGGAGTGCAAATTTGAGCCTAACTCAAAAAAATAAAAAAGGACTGGGGATGTAGTCAGAGTGAAGGCCCTGGTTCAACCCCCAGGATTGCCAAAATAAAAACGTGCCTAACCTGTTTCATTTTGAAAGTATAACAAAATAAAACAAATATTTGAAAGCAAATATTCTGATTTTTCTCACAACATTCTTAACCGTTCAACACATAAGAATTAGGGTAGAAAAGAATGGCACCATTGTAGAATAAGTCAAGAAAACAGCCTGAAAAGGTCTAAATACAGCATTCTTTCTTCTGGGCTGCTATAGACGCTCTGCTTTGTATACCTGAAAAAAAAAAAAGTTACTTATAAAGAGTTACTTTGCTTAATGTTCCCTAGTTGCTTAGTCAATGATTAGAATTATATAAATGAGTAAGATACTGGTTACCCCAGTGCTTTGATAACTTTGTTATCAGATTGCTGACTATTGAGTAGTTAGTTCTGTTGTATACTACATATTTGTGTGCCTAAATTACTCATAACAACACCCACTGACAGTCACAAACCCATTTCCAGTGTTCTTACAGATATGAGGCCTCTTTGACACTGTGCTCAGCAGTGAGAAGGGTCTAAGAACTCTAGATTCTTGTAGAGCTTTGTTATTCCTTTGAGAAATCAAAAATTCACAGGTGCTTTTCTTTAGGGTTGGTCTTTTCTGCAAGAGCCCCATGCCTTGTACAGACAGAAGAGTGGATGAGAATGTGTACTTACATCATTCATCTCTGTCTGCAAGTCCCATTTCTACTAATGGCATATGAACTGGGTACTGTTCATCTTCACATAAGGTTATTATTTGTTCTGGTGCTTGAGCCTAGAATTGAAAGATACAATTTATCAAGAAAACCCAATTCTATCTTTGCTTTACTTTCCCTCCTATATCTGGACATTCATACAAAAGGGAAAAGGCATTCTCTAGGTTTATTTCCCTAATTTATACTCTTCCTAAAGGATACCTGTGATGGCTTCCTGCTAAATCTCATTTCTTTCACTCTAAACTGTAATTAATTAAACATCAGAGTTCTGGGTGGAGCCAGTAGGCTTGTGGGCTTTAATATTATCTCTGTTAAAATCTATTCACATTCCACACAGGCTAAGCTTTGGAAGAAGAAAGGTTTCAGTCACCTGGGGTTTCCACACAGGTTCTACCACATTATAGTTCAATCTTTTCTATGATTATAACTCCTGGTCTTTCCTACTAATCTTTTCAGGATGCAGCTCAGATCTAAGGAATTCTCAACCTTTTCCAGTTCCCTTTAGATGGAAATAATCATTCCTTCTTTCACTCCTTCCACCTCATGAAGTTACCTATACCTCTATTGTAATACCTCATTCTATTGTTAATTAGTGGTTGGTATACTTGTTTTCCTCCATTAACTTACAAGTTCTTTGATCATACAGTGCACTTTTTTTTTTTTTTTTTTTTTTTTTTT